AAGTATCGGCGAGCATCCGAAATTCTCGGTTAGGGGAAAGCTCGAATTATCGGAGATCGGATCTCGCATGCAAACAGCCGTTAATCGGGAGCTATTCCCAGGCAAAAGTCGGTCGACGGAGTTAACGAATTCGACCGAGCCGGCCACCTAGCCGAGACCGGGCAAAGGCTAGCCGTAAAACGCGCGGACAAGAGGATGGATCTTGCCTCGGAATAGAAATGCGTTTATTAGGACAATCGACGGTTATCGGCCGAACGGAATATTCGTGGCGCTGCGGTGTATGATTATTGGTACGAGGGTAGGTAGCGATGGTGGCCGGTTAAGCAGGCCGCAAATAACGCGGCCTATGCAAATTTATGTTGAGCGAGCCGGGTCAAGTGTCGTCGGTTGGGTCGCGGGTCGTCGCTCATTTGCATTTCCATTCGATTAAGCAATGGTCACTGCGGCCGACTTGGCTTCGATCGCTCGATATCGAATTTTTGTCCACGAAAAAAAAGGGAGGAACGACCACTGGCTGGCACCTGCGCTTGCCCCTAGGCTCTAACGGATCTAATCGACTATTCCCGATCCTCTTTCTCTTAACCCCTCGCACTACTTTCAAAAGTCCCGCTCGCGATCAGAATTCGAGAAAAAATTTCGCGAATCACATTAACGTTAGAACTACGTACCGTTCAAAATGACTAGTTTCCATTCTTTCGTTCAGCAGTTATTGATATCTTCGAAGCATTGAATATTCGAAATGATTTTGAAAGTCAATAGCTTCATTTGAATACTATAATGAATGTCTGAAGAAACTGAAAATAATCTATTGTCACAATTCTTATGGGAATCGCATATTAGTCGTATTAAACGCTCGGTAGTTCTAATGCTGACGCTAGAACTAACACTGAGGAGAGTCCATTTACATCGCTACCTAATTAAAATTATAACTTCTATCCATAATGAATCAACAGAGTACTCTAGCTCACTCTAGTCCCCAGCAGTCTCAACTAGCCGAATCGCTTAGACCGAGAGTATTCAGCTTTCGAAGGAAACTGAAATTTTCATTCTGAAACTAGTGTCTCACAGAGCCAACAGCTCGCTCGAAAGTCCCTGAAACCGTCGAGCGAGGATTCCTCTATCACGGAGGTCCAAAGCTAGATAAGCGATAAGGCGTTGGCGATCCAGGGTCCGCGAAATCCGGAGGATCGCGCGCGTATTACGCACGCCTCGGCTTGGCCGATCGCGCGGCGCATTCGCAACGAGCCAGCCACAGGCGTCGTTCCCGCAAAAGTTCGCCGATTGAGATTCCGTCCACGGCGACGCGTTGCGCCGTGGCACGTGGGGCATCCACTCGTCTCCTCCGGGAGCCAGACGTTCCTTCCTTTCTTCCTTCCATTACACGCTCGCCCGCGTCCCCCGGCCTGCGATGAATTATTCCGTAACACGGCTGATACACTTCGCACCCGCGCCTCCGGAATTTCTCCCGAGCCTGACACCGAGCCCTTTCGAACTTTGCCATCTGACATCGAAAGTTCCGTGCCAGTCGCTTCTGTCGTTTACACGAGAAAGGATCAACTTATTTCTTCGTTCCCGGTGTTTAAGAATTGCAGCTCCTCGTGGGAAAGATCCTTATTCCTTTAACCGTGGTAATACCAAATCGTTGTTTCCTTGACAATTATTGAAAAGACGGACGTATTTCTTGGGGAACTGATTAGTCGATCGGAAAACACGAAAATAAATGGAAGTCTTAATGAAACTGTTGTGGTTGCTATAAGAAAGTTGTAAAAGTTAACGCGTTAACGCTCACTGAAATCAGAGATGGATAGCGATTCTCTTTCTTTAGTTAATTGATTCCTGGGGAGTTCGATCGAGATTTCATACTTTCAGAATAACGTTATTATTTCATATTTTCTTGTAATGCTAAAAATATGGCCATTATCGTTTGTCCTGTTAAAAAATCGTCATTCTCTTCGTCAACCCTGCAATTCCAATGACCGAGCGATCGTTTCACCTCGGCTGACAACAGCACTCGCAGCCCCGACGATTCCGATCGTGCCCCATTCGCGGATCCGAAATCCCGTGGTTCCTCGCTCGCCGGAGGCTCGCGGCTCGCCGAAACGCCGATAAATCATTGGATCATGTTCGTCGGTTTGTTCGAAAGGTCGGTCATTAGCGGATTAAATTAGCAGTAAATCCTTGAGCCGGGTCTGTCGTCGAGTCAGTCGGGTGCGCGACGCGATGGTCTTCGGCTCGGGAACGATGCATCGACACTTTGCGCGTCCGCGGCCGGCCGAGGGCCGGGGCGGCGCGGCGGTATGCAAATTCGCGGCCGCGCGTGTTCGTACGTGGCCCCACAGTCGCGCGCGTGTGCCCGTGCGAGTTGAGACAAAGGTGCTTATGGGTTACGGGAGACTTACCGTGCGTGCACGCCATACATACTTAATGGACTTTCGGCGATGCGTCGCGCGAGGAGCCCGCAGCTAGCGATGGCTCCGCGCCCGGCTCGACTCTGCGACTCGTCGATGTCTCCTATCGAATCGACGTTAACGAAATACGCTTGCACTATCCGTAAACGCGAGCAATTAGCAATTGATCGAAATATATTAACTTGTTGGCGAACAGTGTCTCTGGAATCTTCGATATTTCGATGCAATAGATCGTCTGTTTAGAATGAAGCGTGAAAATTCAATCTTCGCGCGGAGCGGAAAATGTCGAGAGTCAAGAATGCATTGAGAATTTGAATAACTCGGTAGTAGAATGATAAATCGAAGTTGGTTAGGCACGTTTCTCCCTCGAACGCTCCAATTTCCACGCGTTCCCTCGGAGAATTCCACTCGACTCGGTCCGGAGGCAACTGGTTCGCAGCCGGTCGAGTCGACTCGTCGGCGAACCCATCGCTACTCGCAGCCATGCAAATCCAGCTGTGCAGACATCCCCGGGTTCGCCGAGGTACACGATTTTTATCGAGTCACGGCGTCCTCGAACCAAGTACACCCGAGTTCTTCGGCACCGTAACGATCGCATCGAATCTACCCCCATACATTTTTTAATATTCTTATT